TTCTCTACAAACTCTGATATGAAAGAAAATCTTCAGACTATCCTTTTTACTCATTTATGCGTAAAAACAAAAAAGTACATGCTTTTTACGGCCCGCACTGTAAGAGTTTTGAACATCTCGTATTGAATTACTGAATAATGTTTATTAAAGGATTAGCAAAACTAAATCAATATAGAGTTCATTAATGAATGAATTTTATGTTTGAATGTTATTCAGATGTATTTTGATTTGTTAATTGTTCATCAATTTGTTTTTTTCTAAGATATGAAAGAATTATTGAAAAGTAACTTAGACAGATGCAATTTTCGTGCATAAAATTTTCAAGATTCGGCAAAACTCGAGATACAACGATAAAATAGCGGGGAAAGCAAGTTTTTATTTGTTTGGTACCACTCAGATCTTTTAGTATCAAAGAAAGATCAGTCTCATCATAGGTTCTTACTCCTTTATCGGCTTGGGCAATATTGAATGTAATTTTCAGACACACTGATACTTTTTTTCTGATCGTAACAGTGCTAATTAAAAGTACATTCTTTTATGTGATTGCTATTGCGAACTATTTACTATTGTTTTACTCAGTTATTGAACTGATTTGATAAACAATTTCAGTCAAATTCTCCTTTTTCGTCACTAAAATCCCATTGTTTTTTCTTCTTGGAATCAATTTTCTAATTATACAAACCGCTAAGCCTCGATTTTGATACATGATTAGTCTTTTTCCAATTTACATGTGTTCAACCAGTACATCTTAAATTAAATTACTCTTCTCAACCGATTCTGCCTGAATCTTTATGCTCCTATTTTAAGTTTTCAAGTCTTCAGTGTTTTAGAATAAAAGGAATCGCAACAAATCCTGAGTATGAATTGATAAAACAATGTCCTTTATTCTATTGAAATTAACTTACGTATACGTCATTTCTGATCAATCTTATTTGGTATAGTCCAATGATAACCAAATAGTAACATAACAAGAAGATCAAATTTTAAGCGTAATAAACACTCATCATTTTCTCTTGAACATGTTGATATCCATTTTTCCGTTAGTTGTATAAATTCATGACCACAACAAAACTCTTTTGCTACCATTGTCTATTGAAATAATGACTAATTATAAAATAGCACATTATTAGGAAGACGTAAACTTTGTAAGAAATAGTTAATCTACAATAAACTATAAATAGATAATGAAAAACAAACAATATATATCGAATAAAACACAACTAACATCATCAGTCAAAATATAAAATGATGTTATATTAAACAATACACTTATATTGAAATGATTCTACGAAGAAGCATCTGATAAACAATCCTAATTCTAAAATGTGATAGAACATAAGAAATACATGCTTCTTTGTCATAAATTTAACTTTAGTCTAAAAACAAACGTAGATCATTACATACCCAAGGAAATATAGAGAGTAGAAGAGGACTTTAATATTAATTATTTTTATAAAAAGAATTTCATTTCAATGTACATGAAAATAGTTATAATACAAAAAAGATTGCAGTATAATCTAATTTAATTCTATTGTATTATAAAAGTGACTATCTAGACTCCAATAGAATTATTTCATTGATCAAATGATATCACCATTGTCATCTCAAAATCCATTTCCTTCCTTTCTTTCTTATGTATGTCATAGTTTTGATTGATCTCAGTTACATTAGAGTGTATGACCATGTACACTATTCATTAGGAATTTCTTCAAAATTTTTCAACTCAATGGTTTAAAATTATTTCGAACATTAATAGTAGCTAGTAGTAAGATACACTCCATCCTTATTCATCTTCAATGTATTGCAAACAGAAACCAAATCATCTACATAGATTCTACTGATAGTTTGGAAACTAATGTCAAGATTATAGGAAAAGGACATGGATTTTCTGATAATGATCTTGTTGCAAAATTAAGATTCAGATTGTTAAATTGTTGACGATGATGATTTTAAAAAAAGTAAGAAATAGAAAACCATCGTGTAGTTCTACTATTTCTGCGAATTAACCCCGATCGAACTAGTTTCTTACTAATAAAAACTTGTTCCATGAAGAGCATTTCAAATTCATGCGTAATCAATTACTGAAGAGATTTTAATAGCATTATTTGTTAATTGAATGATCATCCAGTATTTATTTTATTGAAAGAAATATGAGCATTAACACACAAGAACATAACGTGAAAAAAACGATTACTTAATAGTATGCATAGTTTATTTTCATATATTCTCTGCTCTTGATGTCATATTCAATATTAATAAGATTGCCATCTACGTATTCTTTACGATGAAATTCAAGCATTGACAAGTGTGGATGTGCTGATAGGTATTTTATACATTCACATCTGCTCGTGCACCTACTATGTGTTAATAGAAAAATTAAGCCGATAATTGAATATTAACTGTAAGAAGCTAAAAACAAATGTGAAAGGGATGAATTTATTATGAATGTATATGGTCTCACTCAGACAGTTCTCAATTGTGCATGTTATTTTTCAATCAATAATATACTGAATCGAATGACGACATAAACTCTTTGCTTATATCATTCAAATACTCATTTAACATAACTATTGTATTCTATTGAAAAAGTTCTGATTTTAAGTAATAGAAGTATGAAAATTTTTAAATTTGAAATTTACTACTCTGATTGATACGAAAAAAAATGTAGTAAGTTAGGTAATGTTGCACTTTACAAGGTTTTCAATATCAATTCAACTGTCATTAATAAAACCAAATTCGTCTTTACAGAAACGGATAAACTATCTACTAATTTCGAATAAATCTCCAATTTAGATAAAGAAAGAAAGATTTATATATCAATATAAAAGATGATCTGTTTCTGTTATCAGAAGAATCTTTTCATTCTTGATACAAATCCGAGTCCTGTGCCAGGTTTCGTTTGGTACATCAAGTGTGTCAGCATCTACTATTGATTTAACTTATCGTATTTCAATTATTCAATGCTATCATTCCAATTGGCATTGATGTAGACGAATAGTTGATCATAAAAGTAATGATCAATATGAGACCAAACATTTTAAAATCTTTTCTTCTTCAGAACTACGATAAATTTTGCGCTATGATTGTACACTGCTTCATATATATCATTTCGGATATACGGTGTAAAACGCAGAGAAAAATATTAATTTGATATGTTGAATCTGCATCTAGCTTATTTTCATCTTCTTATGTGGAAATTTTTTACTATTACAAAACCAAGAAATCGAACAATTACTTTTATATGTGAAGCTATGATAAACACGGAATAGCACTAATATATAGTTAATAGAAAACAAATTTACAGTCATTTATCATCAATCTCTAATAATCAATCCATCAAAAGTAACATCCAATCGACAAGTTGTATGACATTTTCACGTACGTTTCGTTGTTACTATACACATTATGATAAAAGGATAATATTTATAAAGGTCAAATTCGTCTACAGAAATATGATATGGAACGATTTGATATTTTACATTAATTCAAAAATAAAAGCCTTACAAAAATCTTTTCTTTCTATGAATTCTTTGTCACATTTACTGTGACTGTAAGTAAATGATTTTGTAAACATTTCAAAATATCGAATTATATAAGTTTCTTATCAGTAACTAAAACAGTTTACGAGAGAACCTCGCCAGATATGGAATTGCTTTTTGACTGAGGCAATGTTTATTTGATGAGTGAGTAATTGAAGAGTTTAGAATGGTTTAATTTTCTGAGCCTATGTTATTTAGATTATCGAAATTTCACTAGATTTTGTAACAAAAAGCTGTGGTTCTCTTGAAGTCGCATGAAAAATTGGCTTTCAATTTCAAACTTTGCATGAACAAAATTCTTAATGAGATTAGTTCATTGGGCAAGTTTTAGCTTTTTGATTACTGCCTTTCTGAAGATGTTCAAAATTTGCTTTCACATATAAAAGAATTTTGAATATTCAATATCTCAAGATAGAAGATACTAGAGAAGTAAAGTCTCGCTCAATCACCTAGTCCCATTAAGACCTTTGCTCGTGCAAAGTTTGAGGTTATAAGTCGATTTTTCATGTGACCAGAAGCAACTATAGCTTTTTTGTTGAAAACTCCAGTAAAATTTTTATATCTCAAGAACGAAAACCTAGAAAACAAAACCATCCTAGACTTTTGTATTACTCATTTATCAAATAAATATCGCCTCGGTCGCTAATCGATTTGACATGTGGACATATTCCCTCATTAGTTTCATTTTCAAAAATGATTACTGGAGTTTGTTAAATATAATCTGTATGCATGTCAAAATGTGCTGTATCAAATAGTATCCACATATGTGAGTCTTTAAGTTTTACTCTTAATAGTTATAATATTTACGAGCTGATAATAATATGCAGAAAATATGATTATATGTTTTATCAGGTGTTTTATTCGGTACTAGAGTGCTTGAAAAATTATTCATCGGCAGCACTTAGTTATTTCAGATAGAAATGGAGATATGCGTCAGAAGAATGAGCTTCGAAAAAATGATCGACATTCGTAAAGAATAGTAGATTTTTCACTTTAACCTAGAGAATCTTCTTGTACAAGCGACTCATGCTCATTCATTTCAGTCATAAAATGATCTATCATTTTGACAGTGTAAAAATAAAAATTTTATTTTTTGTTTTGTTTTGGTTTTCATATTTGATAAGGGAAAAATAAAACTTGCTTTGTTTTTGTCAATTTTTCTATTTGATAAAACACATCGAAATCGAATAAAAAAGAACAATAATAAATTCAATAGAGATTATCTTATTGCACTATTTGAGAATATATGTCATATGTATGTATGTGCATGCAAAGGCAGAAAAATATATTTACTTTGTCTAATAAAAAAAAGAGCAAAAATAATCCTCTTTCTGAAGTGCCTTCTTCTTTGAAATATAAAGTAAATAGATATGTAATGGCAAAAAAAACATGTTTCATTTTCGCATGTATTTAATAAATAAACTTCATGGTATGATTTTTTGAAACGAATATATGCTTAAATTATTTTGGTGCAATACATATTGTCGAACCGCACATATTGGGACAACATTTTTTATCACCTTTGCAATCATTATCAACATCACAAAAATGTCCATCACATAAATTCCAATATGGATTTTGTTGTTCAGTTGCAGATGTTGGACAGTTACCTGGTTTTTTTTCGTTATCTTTCGGTACAATACATTGAAAACCACATGGTTGTTCAATACGGAAACAACATTTTTTGCCCTGTGGACATTCGTCTTTTTCGCGTGAACATGTTGATTCACATTTATCCGGTGGTCGAATAAATCCATAACCAGGACAAACTTTTTCACCAGCATTAACAATTGAAACAATCACCAAAAATAACAATACAACAAATGAATACGGAGACATAATTCCTACAAGAAATGATTATTCTAAAATAAATAATAGGATATATAACGTGTTATTATCAATTTAAAATTGACGAAAAAGTATTACAAAAAGAAAGAGTATAAATAGAAAAATATAAGTAAATATATGACATGAGGACAATACTCCCACCATCGTGTTAATCTGCATATATCTTTTTTATTTGATCTCAACCTACACTCATTGTCATTTTTTCTTTTGTTTATCTCTCAAATGTGTTTTTAGCATTAACATGATTTTAAAGGCGTTCAAGTTTATTTGTTTTCAATTTCTTTTGTTTGAACAATATATTCAACTGTTTTTCATTTTGACTTGCTAATCAACTTGTTTGTTTAAGTTGTGCAAGTCATGCCAGACGTTCATTGATTAGAATTTATATCATGAAATGTTTGTTTTTGTACGAATTCACATGAACAAAGATTTATCAATGATTTTCTTCATTATTGAATTATTATCAGCATGATTTATAATAATACAATTAGTTGTTATTGTGAAAGATATACATTCATTAAGAATAATATCATTAGAATGTGTGGATAAATTAACATTTGAGAGTTTTGTCCAAATTAATAAAGTGTTCTTTGTTAAATCAAACTTTTTCGTGCGTAGAATATTTTTCAATTTTTTTTGCTGAATTAATTCCTCATTCTTCTGAATTTGTTTTCATTAAGTTTTCAGTAATTTATATGACTCATAGAAGAGAATTAAATATACTTTAACAAAAGATATTTTAAATTTCTTACTTCTTTTACCAATGTATCATGACAGTTCAAGAATACATTTTGAAACAATTTATAATTTGATAATTTATTAGAAGATATTTTTCATCAGATACAAAATTACCCATTTTAATTTCTAGTAAGATACATTTCATCTTCACTGATGTTCAATGTATTGAAAACATAAATTCAATCATCTACATAGGTCATATTCATATTGCAGAAAATAATGCCAAGACTATAGAAAATCAAGATGGATTTTCCAATAATGATCTTGTTGTTAAATTAAGATTTAAATCATTAAATTGTCAAAGATTATAATTTAAAAAAAAATAGAAGAAAAAATCATATTGTATTTCTATTATTTCTTTTCTAATGAAAGCAGTGTTAGTTTATACACCAACATCAATAAGCAAAAGAAAAGGCATGAATTCAATATTAAAAACGATGAAGAATAAAAGAAAATTAAGACATGTTAATAGGTATATGCTAACAAGAGAAATGATAAAAGATTATATAAGAATTTCTACCGATTATATCAGAGAAAATTGTGCGGGTTAACTGGAACTGAGACCTTTCTTAAATAATAAAAACGCGTGTCTAACTAATTTCTAATGAGATTTTAATAAGATATTTTGTTAATTGAATGATCATCTAGAATTTACTTTATTGAAGGAAATATGAGCAATAGTATTCAAGAACATAACATAAAAAAAAAATGATTACTTTTTTTTGGTTTGAGCTCTGTTTTATCGTAACACTCGTAAGTGCTTACAGAAATGCAATACACGAAGGTGGGTAGGGAAAAAGAGGAGAACAATTTAAATACGACGGTCAACAATATGGAAGAAGAACACAAAAAATAGGTAGAGTAACAACAATTTATCAGAGAATGAATAATAAACGAGGGTACCAGAAGGTGCGGATAAACAAGTTAAAAAGAAGGAAGGAAAGAAAGCTAGGAAGACTAGAGCATTGAAGAGAGGAATGGATTGGTGGGGATGGAGAGAATGAGAGTTGATGTTCAGGATTCGTACCTATGCTACGACTTAACTAATTTTCAAAATTTCGACCTCTTGCAGGAAAGAGACTTTATATGGGTGTCTAAGGAGCTTGATCTATTGATTGACAAACTCTAGCCATGTTAGGAGTAGTGAATAGTGTTTAATAAAAAAAAAATGATTACTTAATAGTATGCATATTTTATTTTTATACGTTCTTTACACTTGATACCATATTCCATACTTAAACGATAATCATCTGCATATTCTTTACGATAAAATTCAAGCCTTGAAGAATATGCTGATATTGACTTATTTTAAGAAGATGTATACGAGCCATTAATCATAAGAAAAGATTAATATCAAGCAAAACGTTTCAAAATCTTATCTTGTTCAGAACTGGAATCATTTTTGCACAATGATTGTATATTTCTTCACATATTATTACGAGTATATGGTCTTAGATGCTGAGAAAAATATTAATGTTATATGCTGAATCTACATTCACCGTTTGATCATCTAATATGGAAATTTTTTTATTATTATCAAAAATCATTCTTTATGATTGTTATGCCATCTTGGTCAAAAATAGAACCGAAAGAATTATTCTGATAATGGATGTTTCAGAATAAATTGCATTACATCTGACTGCTTTTTTTCTTTTACTTCATAAGTTTTCTTTATATGCCAAAAAAGTATTGAATTTCAAGCTATGCCAAGCTGTTGACTTGGTTTTCCAAACAAGTTTAATTTTCTCGACGCCAAATTTCACAAATCCATCTCTACTCAGTGATTCAATTTCGTTTTTCTATTCTTCCATGACGTTATATTCATTGATTTCAGCTATAAAACGACCTATCATGCTAATAGTAGAAAAATAAATATTGTCTTTTTTTGTGTTTATATTCGACAAGACAAGAGAAAAATATAACTAGTTTGCTTTTTACCGAATTTTCTATTTGATGACACATTCAAATTGAATAAAATACAATAATCAATTCAATGCAACTTATATTGTTTTCCTATCTAACAATATCTTTCATATCTTTATATGTGTATGCGAATTCACAAAGATATTTTTATTTGGTTTAAAAAAAATTTCCTTCCCCGAAAGTACTTTGACATACAAAGCAAAAAAAAAAACATTAAATGATTAAAAACAAAAATGTTTCATTTCCACATTTATTTTATAGATAAACTTTATAGTATCATTGTTTAAGTGAATACCTTTTTGGAGGCTTGTGGTTCAATACATATTGGTACATGACATGTATTGTAACAACATTTTGCAGTACCCCTGCAATCATTATCAACATCACAAAAATGTAGATCACATACGTACCAATTTCGACCTTTTTGTTTGCTGTTAGGTAATGGACATTTGCCTGGTTTTGGTTGATTATCTTTAGGTATAACACAATGATAACCACATGGTTGTTGCATACGAAAACAACATTTTTTGCCTTTCGGACACCTATCTTTTAGTGTTGAGCATGTTGATTTACAATTCTTCGGTGGTTTAATAAATCCATAACCAGGGCAAACTTTTTGACCAGCATTGACAATTGAAATAATCACCAATAATAATAATATAGCATATAAATATGGTAACATAATTCCAATAAGAAATGATTATTCTAAAATAAATAATAGACTATATAATATGTTATAGTCTGTTTAATATTTACGAAAAAGTATTAACAATACTTACAACTGTAAAATAAAATTGACGCTTAAGCCTTATTAAAAGACGAAAATCCTTTAGGTAGCTAAACCTGAAAGTCGAATGATGTTTTATTGGTAAATCACGCACTTTATATAGTGATAGATGCATAGAAAACATTAATGCTGACTCAATAAGATAAAAAAAGAATCCAATAAGCGTGACCGCACAAAAAAATCAAGTCAGGTGATAATATGCATAGAAAAACAAAACTTCGTGTATTATGAAAACGAGAAGATGGACTTTAAGAGCATTATACAATAAAGCAGAAACGACATAATCGAGTAGGTGTTTTTTTCATCTCATGACATGCACATCCATGATGTCAGATTTCAAGTTAATGATAATTTTGAATGTTTCAATCATCAATCATTCACAAAAAGTTTCCTTTCAAATAGTCATATCAGTTACATGAATGATAAATTATACTTTCACGTTTATCATCGAATTTAATAACGACAAAGGCACGCGATAAAAAAAGAACATTTTAGTACATAGACATGTTGATTTACAAACAACATCTTTAAATGATAGATACTTAGAGTAATTCAACAGTAATGATGCCAGAACAAAAATCGAAATATAGAAACAAGTAGTTCATACTTCATCTTCTAAATCTTATCGAAATTTACGAAACTATTTACACCACATTTCAACTGTCCTAAGAAAAAGAACTTTGTTACGACAAACTGAACATAATTCATTATGAATAATTCTTGCTTGTATATTAAGTGCATTGCACACATCAATATGGAATGGAACATTTTCCTTATCTATATAAAACAGAGATGAACAATGTTAGGATTTAACCTAGTTTTAATTTTTTAATTTTTTTTAAGACCATACTACTAAACTACAGATGTAAACAAAACCAAGAAGATATGCGTATTGATACATATATGTAAACAATTAGACATTACGAGGAATGATAAAAAAAGAATAAAGACAATAGAAGAGAAAAACAAAGAAAAAAACTAACAAGATAATACATATCGAAAACAATATGATGTAATTTAACCTTCAAACATCATAAGCAAACAGGTTTTATTGAAGCTTTAATATTATGATATTGGTTGAAGAATGATTGAATACCATAGAAAAATAAAGCATTGTTTTTACTATTAGGCTATATATAGATAAAGATTCTTGTAGCTATAAAAAATCAAAATACCCTCCCACTACTTTTGGATTGCCCTAAGTATATCCACACCGTTCATCAATATTAGTTAGGTGATATATTATAATTTGATCTACTTGTGATAGATAATATCATCGTTTTGTTTTTGTTTTAAGTTAAACTTTTTGATTCAATCTGATATATTGGATTATGTATAATTATCATTTACATTTGAAGATCATTTATGTCGAATAGAATATCTCAAAAGATCATCGTACGAAAAATCGTGAGGTGAATGTTGTACGATGTTCATATGTTCTATATCTCACTATGACTGACATTGATTAACTCATATGTTAATTGTAAACATAAAATTTAACTACTACATTAATATCTCTACTATCTATTACAATTCAAATTTAGTTTTATATCACTCCACATTACAAAATAAAACTTATCATAGACGGTTTTACATGACTATCATGTTATCTTGTTGGGAATACAGTACAGAGAAAAATATTTTCATATGACTTTTGTTTTGATCAATGGGATTGTGTGGCAGATTTTTTTATATGCCATTCTTTTTCGAGCATCTCATTGTCACAGCAAATTCTAATACTTTTGTTTGTACTATCGTTGAGTTACGAAGCTTAAACTGTGGGAAAAACGAATTTTTGAGTTATGATGTACTTTAAAAAGAAAGAAATTTATAAAAGATAACGAATGGTCTATTTTGAAGAGCGTAAAATGTTCAATTGAAATATATATCTTTATCGTTTATATTATTTTCTAACTAAAATATTTTGTCTGCAATACTTTGTAACAGTTATATCAACAGTTTGATATGAAAGGACATTGTATTTCACTGTACAGGGTGTGAAAAAATATTTTACCAGACGGTAATGCTGTGATTTCAAAGAATATCAACAACAAATTTCATATAAAATTAAAACGCATCGAAAAATGGAATTTACCAATATTAAATACTGACCGTAAAATCAACTTTACAGTGTGGAATTTAAGAAATTCCTAAAATTTTACGTCATATCAACAATAAAAACTTCTTGTGGTGAGGCAGTTTAAACTAGGCATCATTTTAACTGCTGGGTATCAAAAAGTAATACTTATTTGTTTAGACTTGATTAACATAATCAATAATCAGTACGACGGCTATTAGAGTTTTTACAAGAGGAAGATGATATGAAAACGAACATGAAATGATTTCAAATGGTTCCACATTTGTTTCCATATGTGTCAAAGCATGTAAAATATGATTTTTTAGAATTTCTTCCTGAAAATAATTCTGTTCTGTGTCTGACAGTCAATCTTTTCAGCTTCATTTTTTATTATTGTTCCTATATCTTCAGATCAGGTATCCAACACTTTCTGATATTCATCATTTTAAATGATGTCTAGTTTAAACTGCCTCACAAAAGGAATTTTTTATTGTTGATATGAAGTAAAATTTTAGGAATTTCTTGAAATCCACACTGAAAAATTGATCTAACGCTTATTATTTCGTATTGGTGGATTTCCTTTTCGACGCACTTTAATTCAGTATAAAACTTGTAGTTGATATTATTTGAGAACATCACGTTACCTTCTGCGAAAATATTTTTACAACATCATATACTGTTGAAGAAATAATGATTCTGCTTTTCTCTAGGAAAACAACGATCTTTTTCTAAAAATCTTTATTCATATTTTCCAAAGACATGTCAGAAATAGTCATGTGAAAGATTCTTTCGTTTTCAGTTTAATTTTTACTATTATTATGTTTCTTAGAGTAATGTAATTAGTTTAAAATGCAATCTCTTGTCTCTTTTTATTTTAAAGAAATTTACAAAATATGCTGAAATGTAGGAGGATATTTTTTGGCACCAAATAACACTATCTACAGTGTATTTTATACTGAAGAATAGTCGTATATCAGCTAATATTCAATAAATGCTAGGAAACTTTTGTTGTATAGTATAGTTATAAAATATTCTAAAATGCAACACTAAGAAATTGTGTAGATCGTACTAAAGATTGGCAACTCACTTATGCAAAGGAAACAATGTCAAATTCGAGTTCAGAGTTTTTTATACTATCCGTAGAAAAAAATGAAACCATTTTGTGAAATATCAAAAACTGAGATACAAAGGTGTTCATTGGTAATTTTTCAATTATAGAAAAATCGTTTTTTATTGTTCATGATTTTTTTTATAACACTAAATCAAATAGATTTCATAATCTGCCTCATTCATTTGTATGCATTGTTATATAAAATCATACAAAAAAATATAAACAAAATTTTTTTTCCGTTTATATTTTACAGCTTGAAGAAAAATACTGTGAAACCAAATGATTCTATTTATCTCTATATATTCAAAATTCCTTCAACATTATGCAGAAAACATTAAAAAACCATCCACGATTTGATTAATTAGGTTTGCTTTTCTTTCGAATGGTAACAATAACAAATGATTATTAAACGTAATATAAAAATGTGAGGGTGTATTTGTTATAACTGCACTCGTAGAAAAGAAAGAAAGGAATTTAATCTTTATCCTCGTAAAGTCAAACAGTTCGATACAAAAAAAGAATATGTAACAACGTATTGGTAAATATTTTGCAATACATCAAAAGACAAAGCTTTACATAAACACAAAATATGTGTAATCAAAATCCATATGATAGATAACTCCTTCATATACTTGACAATGCAAATTTAAGTCAAACTATATGTTTACATCTAATAAATTAAATAGATTCTTTTAAATGGCAAAGATTGTTACATGTTTAGCGTTTCATAGATGACTTTGAGTTATCATCTAAGAGAAAAATAAGGACAAGTCAAAACAAGCTTTCTGGATGATTCTGTATTGATATATATAATACAAGTCTTTAGAAGTAGTCAGTATTAATATTGAACTTCGTGTCCCATAAGTAAAACACACAATTGCCATCCTTTGGGTATCAAAACACCAACTTTCTAGCAAAAACCAATATTCCATGTTGGAAAATTCGGAATTTTGTAACTGTTGACTTTTAAACTAGCTAGTTTTGGAAATTTACTTTATTTACATTAATACAGAACCATTCACAAAATTCATTCTCACTTGTTCTTATTTTTCTCTTATATGAAAACTTAAAATCATCTATGAAACACTATACATGTATTTTTCAATTTAAGAACAGGTAGAATTACTTTCATAATACCAATAATAATACTTAACAGTAGTATTTGCTTACCTTATCCGTATGAAAAAAAAAAACTTCGAATAAACTTCTACCAATGACCAAAAAGTCAACCTATTTGGTTGAACCGTTGGGGAGATGTTTCATTTCTTATCATAGTACTGTTCATGGTTCATCCTTTCTCATGTAAAAAAAAAAGTTAAAAGTCGATTAAAATGACACTAAAATAATCTAATTTTAATTAGATTTTTCAGCCTTAAAAGACAGATTTAATTTGATTTAATCTGTTTTGTTATCTTTTCTTATAACTTTTTTTAACATAGGTTATGTTATTAGGGGTGGTCATTTAATGTTACTTTTCAAAATAAAAATAAATGATTGGAAAAAGAATTTATCATTTACTTTTTCAAGATAAAGGAATCCTTTATCTTTATTAAATAAAGGGAAGCTAAAGGAATAAAGGGTTATTTTTTTCGACCGAAAACGGGGCTAAAAATATTCAACGACTATGGAACTCGTCTTGAAAAGAATTTTTATCATTGAACGTTTCTGTTTTGACAGAAATAAAGTCTCGAAAGCGTGAAATTAATT